CCTAAATCCCATATCCATGATTTAAACTTAACAAAAAAAGATACATGGGTATATTGGACACAAAAACGAAAAATATTATATCGTAAAAAAGCGAATACTGTCTTATTAAGGTTTACCTTCGAGAATATTGGCATTGAGTGAATATGAGGTTATCTAGAACAATATCGAACGGCTGCTGGTTTGACCCTATAAACAGAATATTGCTACAATACGAAATTCATAGTGTTGAAATGTACGGGTTTGTAACTATCTCTGCCGGTGCTTACTGATTGCAACTGTACCAACTGCTTGTTGTGATTACAGTCGTGTGCCGAGCAGAGAGCGTCATCGACCCTATATCGTCAGGGCTATAAAAATTGAGAAGTAAAATAGACATATTTTTAAAAGAAATTGATTTGAGCAAGCGCACGATTTATAAAAAAAGGTGTTTAATTTATTGTTATCTTTTCCGGAATATGTCATTTACATTGAGTAAAGCACTATTGTATTTCATCGACTTTTAGTAACTGGACAGTTTAATGTCGCCTGTACACTGTACATCTGCCCAGTTACAAGATGAGGGTATTTTGAATTAAAAACGGATGTCATATATTTTATAGGACTTTGGGTTTTCTTTATATATATAATTCTTCTGTGAGTGTGTATGTCACTGAACTTCTCTCAAACGACTGGACCGATTTCGATTTTTTGTGTGTGTTCAAGGGGATCTGGGAATGGTTTAGATTCACAATTTTGTCCGCTGGACAATGTTTTTTTAATTAATTTTTAATTTATTAGTAGTTGTTGATTTTGGAATGTTTTACATTGGATCAGACAGACGGCGCTACCATCGCAGTGTCAAATTTGACAGGACAACGTCTGTCGGGTCCGCTAGTATCATAGTTGTTATATCATGGCCATGGAGAAAATATTATATTTAATTTTTAACAAAGTATTGGAATAAAATATATTTTTAATTTAGCAGGTCAATAATACGCAGTTTGCGTCCCGCGAAATGTCACTTTAACCCTTCCGCTTCCGTACCGCCAGTAAAAAAAAATGGATTTAAGTCACCTTGATTATTAGCTTTTATAAACATTTTGTTACTTAAACATTAGCTGTATAATCTCGACACAGTAATTATAGCCATCTGTTCAACGATTAGGAAGTAATGTTTGCAATATTTGTGATTGTCGGTTATGCGCTCGTGACAGGAAGAGAACGATTTTAATAATTATGTCAATTCTTATTTCGTATCTAGTATATGACACAGCTACACAATTGACAAGTGACATCGACTATAGAGAAAGTGTCAGAGAAGTGTCACCGTTACCTGTTTAAGGCGCTTTTCGTTTAGTACGGCAGCAAACTTTGAGTGGTTAAGAGTTTAGTGTGTGGCTCACCAGTACAACAGTGTAGCAACCCAAGTAAATAAATAAATAGTCAATAAACAGAAACAAAGATTTTAATGAGTCAATATGTTCGTCGTTTATGTGCCATTTTATTAACACACAGTATTAATTTCTTAACCTGTTCAAAACGAATTAATTTTTAAAATCAGCAAATGGGGGGTGTAACAGTAAAGGATTTCCACATACTGTCAAACGCTGTCGAAAAGTTATTTATTATCTTATTACTTTTTATTAATTATTATTCTTATTATTTAAAAAAATGGATTCAAATTTTCATTTAAAAAATAGCCATCCTTGATTATTGATTTGATGAAATTAGACGGGCATCTAAAGATTAGTGACTGGCCTGGCTGCTAAGCGGAAGGTCGTGGCTTCTATGCCCACCCAGGACAAATATAATTATGTGATCATTGGTTCTTTGTCTGGGTGTAATTTGTCTATAATATGTATGTATTTAGAAACATATAAGTATGTTTATCAGCAGTCTGGTTACCATTGTACAGGCTCTGCCTAATTTGGGATCAGCGTGTGTGATATGTGTAAAGTTATTATTATTAAATGTAAAACGTAATTAAACCCTTATAACGTGTTTTCCTTCCTACCGGTGGATTTAGATTTTTTGCGATCGCAGCTGTATAACTGTTCGTAGCCGAATGACGCGTGGCAGGTCGTTAACGAGTTACGTTCATGAACTTGAACCTCGCTGGCCGCCGACCGCTCAATGCCAAACATTATGCATTACCTTCTATTTTAGTTATCGTCAATCAAACATGCACTATATTTATGATTTATATTTTTGGAAATGGACGTAGCTACAATACATTTTTTTTAAAGAAAACGTCACGTACTAAAATGTTATTTATTTAGATACTATATGTCTCTTCTCGGCATACAAATTTACTATGGTAGATATGTACCTGTGTATGTACATATGTAGATGTCGCAGCCTGTTCTCCTTACTCTCCGCGTTCAGCGAACTCTTAGTTCGTCAAAAGCCTAGTGGGATCTATTTGCAGATGAATGGAATGTAATGTTATCTATATGCCTAGAGATGGACTTAATTCGCCTGCCCGGATGACATAGTGGTTTAAGCGGTCGCCACGCCGCTTACTACTACGCTGAGTGTTGTGAGTCCGATCCCAGGATATATGCCTAATGCGGGAGTTGTCTTTAAAATAAAAAAATACTATATGTACAAGCTAGCTTAGTATATGGGGTAGTTAAATTTACAATGATACAAACATATCGGTCTGTGAAACCATCATCATCATCAACAGCCTTTACTAGTCCACTGCTGAACATAGGCCTCTCCTTAGAAAGGAGGTTTTGGCCTACTATACCACGCTGGCTGGTTTGTTTCAAGTTTTCCTTTTCTTTGCAGCCCTGTTGTCCTGCGTAGTTTACTCCCTTAGTCGGAAGAAAGAAGAAAATGTGTTCATTTGTAAAACAAAATTTTCTTATTTCAACAGACTGTTTTTGAATTTCCGCCTACTATGTGACTCAACCTTTACAAACCTTCCTTTCGTCAGAGGGTTTATTAATTCTAGGTCTTTAGATCGGCGTGCGGACCGTGTTATACCAGGGCCTCAATTTTGCTATTCTATTATTGTACGAGTATCAATAGACTGTCGATAAAATGTCGTTGGAATTGTTTTGCACTTTTCGTATTCTACTAACCATGAAAAACCAATGGCCCGATGACTGAACTGCCACTGATACAAATTTCGTCGATATTTTTGTAATAGTTTAGTTAACGGTACATTTTAAATTTATAAGAAAAAGATCTATTTAATTTTCCAGGTATAGTATATACCTAGGTATAGTATAGGTAGCATCATATAAGGGAGTCGATAAAAACAACCATATTTGAACCGAGTTGTCCAGAAAGGATTCGATCCACAGACTGATTAAATTAATAATGCCAATTAGCTGTTTAACAATATGTGTATTCATATTTTGAAAAACTCATTTATGGGTTTTGTGACTAAATGGGCACTTTAACAATATTAACTTACATATACGAGTATGTATATACAAATACTAGCTGCGCCCCGCGGTGTTACCTGCAGCTGTTGTACCTTGCTCATCCCACACACCGAACACAATTTTTTTTTCAGGATTAAAAGCCTCTATGCTCTCTTAGACTATAATCTATCTCTGTGCCAAATTTTATTACGATCTGTTGAACCGTTTTTGAGTGAAAGAGTCACAAACATCCATACAAACTTTCGCCGTCATAATATTAGTAAGATTAGGTAATCTAACTACCATAAGGTACAGAGTTTATTGAATAAGAAAGTATTTGTAATTTGATTCTAGTGAATACAGGAATATTTATAATAGGTGGCAGTGGGGACGACCGATTGACCAAAGCTGGTTGCTTGGTACTCACCAGACCTTGCACCTACCGACTATTACTTTTTCCAAAATTTCGACAACTTTTTAGTGGGTAAAAAATTCAATTCCCGAGAGGCAGTACAAAATGCCTTTGAAGAGTTGTTGCCGTCCAGCTGATTTTTACAAGAAGGGCATCAATAAACTGCCAATGCGTTGGCTAAGATGCGTCGATTGCATGGGTGATTACTTCGAATAACAGAAATTAAAAAGTTTGAAAAAATAAGTACTTTCACTTATTGCATAGAAAACGGCAATTTCATAGGTAAAGACCTATTATATCAAAGAAATGGACAATTTTATTGAGAGAATATAAGATTACATTATATTCAATAAAATAGCACATTATAATACGCTATTAAAATATATACAGAAATATAAGGAAATTCTCGCGTTACCACGGTACGTCCCCTTACAGCCATAAAAGCTACATTTGGATTTTTTAAATTAATCGTTATTAAAGCTTGTTTCGAATCCCAAACAATTTTCTGATTCTTATAAGGTTAATCTAGACTTAAAATTTTAGCTTTTAGGTATAAACTGTTTTGCACAGTTTTAGGTCTTCGCAGAAAAGTGATAAATGTCCAAAATCACCATCTTGACTTATGATTGCTGCTAATTGTTTTTTTATTTATTTTATTAATTTCCTATGAATTGCCGTCACTCAAGGAAGTATCGCACTTATTTGATTACGATTATAAATATATATACTGGCAAATAAAAATATTAAAACTTATTTAGGTTTTTGGTCTGTCATTAAATGAATTTTCGATTGGCGTGGCAGGATTATAAATCGTATAATTTAAGTTACAATGAAAAGTCATGGTAAATGTTACTATGATTCATAATGTTAATAGTAACACCAAATCAACAGACTTTTTTTTATTTTCAAAGCTTTTTCTAATATTTTTATTACTCAAATTGACCCTCTATTCAATACCATATGTACAAGTTTCAATAGGTACTGTATTTTTAAATGTTTGGAAGTAAACGCTACACAAAACTTTTTATAATATACGTCTTACGTTTTTATAGCAGTGGTGCTATGAAGAAAGTGATTTCTTATACGTATGATGATCACATAGTTAATACTATTTACACATTTCATTTTCAACCTTAAACCATACGCCTTTAAACTAGTTCAGAGCACTCGAGAGTATGAAGATTAAAATAAAGTTTAATCACTTGTAATATATTCGCAAAGATATACGTTACCATATAAAGGTCGCCATAACGGCACACCTTCCAGAAGCCCTTGATGCTCGCGAGCATGTTGCGAGTACGCCGTTCACCCCAGCAAAACGCGCCCGCGCAACCCGCCGCGCGCGCACCTCGAGCGCCTCTGTCACGAAAAACATGCATTGTTAAAACATTTCGCTTTAAATCATTTCTGAAGTAAAAGTACATACACAGTAAAAATATAGGGCAGAGTATATATTTTGAGGTGTCGTGGTATAAAGTGTACATATATAATAACAATTCAAGTTATAGTGATCGACGAAATAAAAATAACTTCACACATTTCACACACGGCTGTCTGATTCCAAACTAGGCAGACCCAGTACTATGATAACCAGTAGTCACTCATAAACATACTTTTATCTTTCTAAATACATACATATTATAGATAAATTACATCGAGTCACAGAACAAATTTGAAACAAACATATTGTCCAATAAATTACATTCTAAATAGACAAATAAACACAGTAGATTATACATACAATAGGAAAATAACGGGACGTTTGAGAATGTTGAGAGGGATTTCCCAATGTGATGTCCCCTTACTCTCATATCAGATAAGGATGATAGATTAAATGACTCCTATGTATGTAGGTAATTTCTTCATGGTAAATTTAACATTTGTTTCCTCAATTTGCAAAACTACTTAGAATTTAAGGACAACGCACTTTCTTTTAAAGTATAATGCACAGTAAAAATGGAATCTAGATTAACAAATCACTGAAATATGTATTAATTTATCTTACACTTAAATCGCTTACCCCATGAACGCTCGAATAAGTGAGGAATGAACTGAACATGCACCACTGACAGTAACCTGAATAGGCCCTAATATAGTTTTGCACAGAGATTTAGACGAGCAAAGTTCTTCACGCTAAGCTACGCTAATGACTAAGTACATCTAAGTATCCTATTTTGAGGGCTAATTAAGGCTTGAACAAATATTGCAAACATTAGTAAGTAATCAATAGATTTTATAAACATCGATTCAAAAGGAAACAAACGACCGACTGGAGAGAAACTCGCTGCACTCGTCGTTGTGTTAATATTGATAAGATAAAAGAGAGGAGCTCCTTTACAACATTAAAGGATGATTGCGATATAATCGATTCATGTTATGTACAGTGTAATACGACAATTACTTCAAGACATAAAATTCTTTTATTAAATATTATAGACAACATTTAGGTAGACTTCTTATTGCTCTCTCTTAAAACTGTGGAAACGCCTAAGTTATTTGTGTATATTTAAATTAGACTTGCAACGAATATTCGGTTACTATTCGGTATTCGGCCTATTCGGCTGCTTTTATTATATTCGGCCGAATACCGAATATCTACATATTATTCGGCCGAATACCGAATACTTAAATAATATATTTTGTCATTGAGAAATAATTGGTAAAATGAAAAATTAAAATCGATTGATTACGTATATATTCATATTTTCATTTCTGTTATAATCATTTAAGTAGTCATTGGTGCATAACACAGGTACATAATCATCTTCTGAATAGGAGAAATGGAGGATTCTATGTATTTGAATTATTGTGGTAATCAAAATTTAGAAGGATAAGGTTCTCATTTCTTTTATAATCATTTATTAAGTAGTCATTGGTACATAAAACAGGTACATAATTTAATTCACGTCTGTTTTTGGCGCTAAAATCCAGCCGAATACTTTTGCCTAATATTCGGCTATTCGGTCAGGGGCCTCGCTGAATATTCGGTATTCGGTATACTGCCGAATATACTATTCGTTGCAAGTCTAATTTAAATACTTGGGAACGCAAAAATATAATAGATAATTGACATATTAGCGATGTTTCTTATTTGTGCATGAATCACGGATGCACCTGTAAGTGTGTACACTTCTTGTGACTATATATTGTTGATATTATTAAAAAAATGTAATGGAAACAATGAAAAATAAAACGATTGTATGCACATGAATCAACGTGAGACATGTCATATCTGCTCTTGGAAACGAAAATATTTTGACTCAACATTGAACAGTACGTAAACAGTATCATAGCTTCTATCTCTCGCTCATTTTTTATATTTTCCTGTTGCTGTGACGTATGTTCTTGTTAAGACGAGGCAACTTGGACGCGTAATGTCCCAATCACAGAATGTCATGCAGATGCAAAAAATGGCATCCGCTGATGATTAAATTCCAAGTTGCAGATATCATCAATAATAAAATTATATGCATTACGAGTCTCTTCAGCCGCGCAATCAAAACTATTTGGTTATTTGAAAAAAAATAGTCATAAATTTAGCTTTCTTTTTAGCCTTTGGCAGATAGTTGTAAAAAAATTTAAACCTTTAAAAATAATTTCATATCAAATACAAATGAATAAAATAAAAAATTGAAACAAACAATTTGAGAATCTAGTCCATAAGTTAAGATAAAAATCTTGATTTTAGTTCCTAATATAAAAATATCTCTACAGTACTGAAAATTGTTTCATTTTATTTGCACCTACGTAATTATTTATTAGCAGTCTTTAGAAAGGAGGACGACATCATTTCGAATCTTGAGTTTACGAAATATCTACGTCTCATGACCTATATTATCAGAGAGGCTCTTAGGAAATAACATGTGTATATCAGAACAATTGCTATTGTTCATTCTTGAGATGTAAATATTATATAGATGAAGCAAGTTTTTCTACACAATTTATGTAGTTTATACGTTCATCCGGTTATTTTTTCATCCCGGGTCGGTACAGATTATTATGCATACATAGATTTTTTGTATACTACGTGACGGATTAAGAATACAGTGTTACCACCCCTATTCATCCCGTGGGTGTCGTAAGAGCCGACTAAGGGAGCAAACTACGCAGGACAATAGCACTGCAAAGAGAAGGAAAACTTGAAACAAATCCTAAAGCAACCCGTCTGGCCAGCGTGGTGTAGTAGGCCAAAACCTCCTTTCTAAGGAGAGGCCTGTGTCCAGCAGTGGACTAGTAAAGGCTGTTGATGATGAGGATGACTTTGTGTATGTGTGCAAAAAACATATATCTTGCATTAAAAAACGAAATCACCGCTAACTAGTGATGTAAAAGTATATTTTTAACATTGAAGTGTTTCCAATAGAGATCGTTTCTAAAAGCTACGTACTCGAATTTTGGTCCAATCGTTTTCCATAGGTTAGTAATGGAAAACTATTATTAATCAAGCTTGACAGGACAAGAGTTTTCAAACACATTACAGTACGAATCTAGGACATAAGTACCTTTGTTCCTATTTTTAAGTTAATAAAAACAAATGGAATTAAATAATGGATCGCATTAATTACTATTTACAAAACGCAAATACAGATAGATAATGAAATATCTCTGACGGGTTGTTGTGGGAGGCCTGTGTCCAGCAGTGGACTTCTTTTTGCTGATATGAAACAATGATCATGAAATATCTAAGTACCTTTTTTTTTCGTTTATAATAATTACAAAAGTAAAAGTTATACATAAGCATTTATAGAAAACCTATGTAAATGCATGTACTGTGGTGTCTCTGTCCAAAGGACGAACCTACGGTTGCGAAACCCTATGTTCTTTGATCTACTGCCGTCTGAGTCCCGTTTCCCATTCCCATCCATGTGAAATATCTTACTCTTGTTCCCTCGTTATCTTCCTTATTCCAATTTACTTTCCTCCCTTTACCCGTCAGAAAGCGAATATATTCCCAAGGTAGATTGCCGTTAGACGACTAGCCATAAAAGAACCCCAAAATAAAATTGTGAAAAATGCAGGCAAACTATGGTTATGATGATTGTGAATTACATGCGATAGATGAATTCCATATAACTCTTAGAGAGATGTGTTTCAAACGTTATCTGTTTATGGATGTGCAATCAAGAGATATATTTACTCAACGCGTGATACTGGTTTTGATATGATTATTATGCTAATTAACGTGCCGTATTATATAATTGATTGTCTGAATAATTTATGTTAATTGATCGTGAATGTAAGTGACAAGTGTGATATTTATGTTATTATTTTATAAACTTACCTGTACTTAAGCTTTGAGAGTTTTTAACTTACAAATCAGTAGAAGGTAGCGGTATTCGAGGGCTGCTGACGTGCATTTATTTCTAACATAATCATTAAACTTAGCCCTAGTAAAGAAGAATATTATTCAAGCGTTTGAAAAGTAAGTGTAGGAGTGATACCTTAGCTCTGTCGATTGTAGTAAAATAATAATAAAATAAAAAAGTAAACGTGAAAACATTGTTACGTTCCAGTTTTTAAATAATGTTTTTTTTTACATTCCATCAACATATTCGACAATTGCGACCTTTCATTCAAGTCATTACTCTTAAGTCTGCTACTCTTTTGAAATATTGATCATATTGGTCAAGTTCACTCGCAATTTCAAAATATGGTTTCTGTATAAAAAATTTCGAATTTGCTTTAAAAGGTTACCTCTTTACGGCATATACGATGTTAAAATAACGGAATATATCTCCAATAACATCAAATAAGAGAGTTAACTGTTAACTATACTAAAATCAATTATAGAATATAATTCTTAGGTTCGTCCTTAACCTTCTTATGACCGTTGCCCATCGACATCCTAAGAAAGCTAAATTAAGATATCATTGCCAAGAGCTTCAGTAAGCTCTATTCTTGAACGAACATCCAAAATGGCATGGCTAGGCTCGTATCAAATGTGGTTAGGCAGAGGGTAACACAGCAGACAGTGGAGGTGAGTGCTGACACGTCGCAAGGAGTACTCCCTAAACCTACTCCTGGGTCGCAATTTTTAGGCGCCTTCGAAGCCGCATTTGTTGCCCCACTTATTACGCGATGGACCTGGCACCCGCACGGTAACGCTAAGAAATAGGTCTCTACAATATTTAATGATTTTAATTGTTTGTCGTATAAAATAAAACATATTGGCAACATCATTAAACAGATCAAAACAATTTATTTCGGTATGTTTTGTTTACGATTGCCAGATGTTTTGTGCATATAAGTAAACATCCGAATAATCGCACACGTAAATTCACACATATTGTCGTCTATAATTATTTTCCAGTAAGTTCTTATTGATCTTTCAAAAGTGGAAACCAGTTACTCAAATTAAATGTAATCATTTCATTGAACT